CTCACTGGATGTTTTCTTTTTAGGCCCATTCTCTGTAAACCCTAAAGATGGTTGTGTGTGAAAATCCCAGCAGATCAGCAGATTCGGATCTGATACTCATACCAGCCCATCTGGTATCATCAACAATGCCACCATCAAAGTCACTTCAATCACCTTTCTTCCCCTTTATGATGTTTGATATGAACATTAGCTGAAGCTCCAGATCTGTATCTGCCTGATTTTATACATTGTGCTGCTGACATTTGATTGGCTGATCAGATATTTGCTTCCCCGCTCTGTTCCTTTACATTCTGTTGTTCCAAAATGCATCCACTTCGTAATAATGCCACATACAGTTGACCATGTAATATCTAGCAGGGAAGAAATTTCACGGACTGACTTATTGCCCTCAGCAGCTGCCTAATTTGCCTATATCTGGATATGGCCCTGCAGATCAAACAGAGAATGATGTCATGACGTGACTGGCACAAACGCCGGACTCATGCTCGTGGGATGTGTTTTTCTCCTACAAACGAGATACTTCCGACTGTCATGACGCACTAAATCAAGTAATGGCTGTTTATCGTGTTGACGACCCCCGTCCCCGCACTCCATGCCTCTCCCTCCTCCTTGTCTGTGATGCTAAGGGTTAACCAGCTTTGTCTCTAGAACCCCCCCCCCCTATTTGAAGCCAGACCTGTGCTGTCTACAAATCAGTTAGCTCTCTCTGTGACACCCTCCCCTTTTAAAACCAGACTTTTTAGATACAGGCTACATTGGTAGAAGGTCCCTGCAGTTCTGCAGGCCAGACATTAGGTGTTGCAGTGGTTAGGAAACTCGTCTCTCCACCAGGAGGTACCTCCTTTATCTCCAGGCAGATAATAGCCCTTAAAGCCATCCTGCTATGTGGACACGCAGCAATGTCCGAGAAAATCACTTCCAATGCAATCTTTTGCTAAGCAACACCACCACTAGTCACGGCCCACTGTGAGGACTCCTCGCTCTGTCCGCCCCTGACTCCGACTGGCGCAATGCAATGACATCGCCAGCAGACTGATGAATAATAAAACAAGCAGCCGTCATCCCCGCTCTGAGACACTCACCCCTCGCATGGGAATGAGGCCAGCCCGGTGAGTGCGACTTTTTAACAGCAACGAGGACGGGGCGGAATATGCCGGCGACACGACTGGCACCTGTAAGGCCGACGCTGGACTGTGACACGCGAAAGTGGTGAGGAACGCAGTCAGCAGGGGGCGCCACAGGTAAAGACTTCGATTCTGAAACCAAAAGGTGACATGTTGGAGTCCTGGGAATGAAACAAAGCCTTTAGCTATAGAAAATATCCAGCCATCCATTTTTCGTACCAGTTTGTCCTATTCAGGGCTGCGTGGGGGTCCAGAGTCTATTCTGGAAGCTATGGGTAAAAGGCAGGGAAAAACGCAGGACGGGGCGCCAACCAATCGTAGGGCTCACACACCATTCACACACTAAGTCACACCGACAGATAATTTGGCAACTCTAATCACCTCAGCATGTTTTTGAACTGTGGGGGGAAACTGAAATACCCATAGGAAACCCCGCGACAACACGGGAGAACATGCAAACTCCACGGGAGAACATGCAAACTCCACGGGAGAACATGCGAACTCCACGCGAGCAGAGACTCAAACCCAGGTCTCCAGGGATGTTGACCACTGTGCCACCTAATAGAAAATAATTATTTATAAAAATAGTGAACTTCATATGGGTGGATCAGGGTGAAAATGAAAGACTGCAAACTGTCCTGAATGGACTTCTCTAAGACAGGACAAAAATAAGGAGGTCAATCAGGACACGGCCCCAAACTGGCAGCGCTCTGCCAGTGCGGGCGAAGTCTGCTTCTGGTGCGATGTGCGGAGAACCCACTACTGAAATGGGCCCGGCCGTCACGCCACGAGTGACATTCTGTAAGTGGTGCCCAGAGTGACTCCTCCATATTTATGAGGTCAAATCGCTTGAAACTCAATCAGAGCGGAGCGGCCCGACTGGGCCGTGGGTTTTATTTACACGGCACGGAGCCTATAAATATTCAGCCGGGCTGCACCGTCGCACGGACCCTTTTGTCTCGGCCTCAGATGGGACATCTGAAGCGTGTCGATGGTGCGTCGGAATAAAGAGTTAAAAGAAGCGAAATGTGCATCTTTTTTTATTGTCTAATGAAACTGCGAGGAGCTGCGAAGCCGTGTTTTAATCCAGCTATAATCCTCTGTATAAAAAAATTAATTATAGCCGAAGAGGAACAGAGACGCGAGCGCCGCTTTGAAGATAGAGTGCCCTGAATGTCAGACGCCTGCTTTGAAGTTGCCCGCCCTGCCTGCCTGCCCGCCTTTGTCCCGCACTCATAATGCGTGAGCGCAGTGGCAGGGCCAGCTGCCGCTTTCAGGGGCTACAATGCCAGGCCACATCGAGCACTCCCCCCCCCCCCCCCCCCACGGGGACCCGACTCCGGGACCAGAGTAACCGGGACCCGCGATTGGCTGCCCGGGCCGATCACGTACAGCCCCCTCGGACTGGAGGGGGTGGTGATTTTAGGGGGAAGAGACACACTTCCTGTTCAGACGTGTGTGGGGGAGGTGGGGGGTGGGGTGGCTGAGACAATATAACATGCCATGGTGAGATTTGATGCACGGATGCGACGTTTACAAATGGGCAGCTATGCGAGAAAAAGCCTTCCTTCCTTGGGAGGGGCCGGCATTCAAAGACACGACAGAGCCCACTGGGGGGCACTCCCCGAAGCTGTGGGCATTCTGGGAGAACCCCCCCCCCCCCCCCGTCACGGTCTAGCCCAAATAATGTGCCTTGGATTACTTGAGTGTTGTCATGGATGCGGCATCGCTAGATTGGACATCCGTTCAGAATGAATATCTGTCTGGTGTGAAGCTTCTGACCTGGCCAGTCTCAGCTTCAAATGGGTATCTAACCGCTATGCAGCTTCAGGTGTGGCTTCTGTTCGCCATCTGACCCCCCCCCCATTGCTATGGCAACCAGTGTTTGGGATGCCTCTTCCCTGCAGTACCAATGAGCACCCCCACACCAGTCTGAAAAGAAACCTGGAGTCCATCACCTTCACATACTTTGTTATTACCGAATGAGTCAAGGGAAAAATTGTAAATGATGTTACAAATCTGAAATGACTGGAAAAAAAGGAAACCATGTAATTATTCACAGCAGACACATCTCTGACTCTTGCTTTCAGGAAGAAAGACAGGAAGCGTATTGTTTAACAACACCGGCGTGCAACCTGGTTCGCGTCCTGAAGGGCATCTTGGAGCAAGATGAGAGGTTTGGGTAATAAAAATACAGTAGAATTCCCATGTCTACGGTTTCCAAAAAAGAAATGGAGAAAACTCCAGAAATAAATGGTTCATAAGTTTCAAACCGTGCACCAAGTGAGTACAGGACGTAACATGGTGAAATCTGCCAACCCATTAGTGCCCATTTCATGGCTCTTCTCCCTTTCTCTCCATATCCACGTTTCCCCACAGAACCCTCATCCAGTCTGCCTCTAGCATTCTCACTGATCATTCATTGCCACGTTATTGCAGTGTCCATGTTACAAAAATGTATAGAAAGCATGATTCACATTGCTCTGTCATCCCTTGAAACATATTTTTTTCATTGCTCTATTGTCTCTAGAGATTAAGGCTAAAATGTCAGAATCCCTTTTATTCAAGGGAGAGAGAGTACAGTACTGTATAATAATGTACAATGTACTTCATTATTATTATATTTAATATTGGTAATGTCTGACTGTGCGTAAATTATCAATTAAGCTGTGCCATAAGCATGCACTTTACACATGGGGTCCGCAAATAGTTTGCTGTTATCCGGTAGGTCTTGGAATGTATCACCTGCAGATATGGTGGGACTGTTGTACAGAGCTGTACAAATGGGTCAAGGGGCAGCTGTTACGCTGTACCTGTAAATAAAAGTGTCTAGACACACAAGACTGAAAGCTTGGCTCAATCTAACCACTGTGGGGCATGTTTTCATTTTAACAGATAAATAGCACAAAAATTACTTTTTTCTTTTCTTTTCTTTTTTTTTTACAATAGACAAGGTCATCACTGAGAGATCATGGCTTTCTTCAAGTGATGCTGGAAAGGTGACGTTCTCAATCAGCCACCAGAGATTCTGATGGACCGGCCTGGGATTCATTTTCCATTTGACCTGTAGTTGTTGGACTGAGGTGGGGTCAAGGGAAAAATTTCCAGGCTGGCTCAAAAGTCCCACGGCGGAATACGTTGGACAAATCTCACGGTGAATGGTTTCCGGGCTCTACGGTACCTCTGCGGCATTTTTATCAAGTCGATTTATTTTTATATAGCGCCCTTCCTTGCGCAGACACCCCCGAAGCACTCAACAGAGGGGGCATTGCAGACGAAGGTTACGGCAGCTAATGTTATACAATGGTACAGATCGGAGTGGGAATAAGCCAGGCGTAGGAGCGGAGAGAAAAACTCCTGTGGCTGTTATAAGAGATGAAAGAAAACTTCTGGGGTTTCAAGGCCAGCTGGATGGCCAAGCTGCCCCCCAACCCCCCAGGCATGCTAAACTTACATAAGGTAGAAATATGTGAGTTACAGATGAATCTATGACTGATCTGTAGTTGCACCTTCTGCCAGTGCCGCTAGTTCACTGAATGCTAATATACTTTAGAATTTGCATCAAAACAAAGCAAAAAAAAAAATACAAGAACGAAAAAGGTGATTCGTACCAGTGTGTCAATGGCGCAGGTGTTAAGAAGGGCCTAAAAAACATGGTTGCCTCATATTTCATTTTAGAGATCATTGTTAATTAGATGCCGAAGTTAACGCTATCAGCCCGGGAAGGAGGTGAACAGCAGTGTTCCTGATATGCACCTGGGCCTCAGGCGATACAAGTAGAGCCGTGATTTTCTCTCATGTCGAAAACACCCCCCCACAAACACCCAGACACATCAAGAAATGCTTTTGTTGTCGGCATTCTTGTTTTTCCCTCACCGCTCGCTTCTATGCTCGAAGTCACCATCTCGGGTTTCGAGAGCGGCACCGATGGAGCAGCTTGCTGCAGGAGGAGGTCGCTCAAAGTGCCCTCGCACTGCCGCACTGCACCTCGTCTTCCTCATGTCTTCTCTCACCTCCGTTTCTCTCAGGCAAGCTGAGCTGCTGTGATCAGGGACCTAGGTGGTGTTCGGAAGGGGGGTTTTGGGTTCAGATCATTGGACGAACATTGCTGGTACAGTCTCAAAGCAGCTGCTTCTTTTGTGAGATCCAAGTAAACAAGTGAAACTTCTCATGTCATGTCAACAGCACTTAAAGTATGGAGCTTGCATGTTCTCCCTATGTTTGTGATGGTTGCCTCTATGGTACTCTGGCTTTCCTGCAGGTGCACTGATGTCTCCAACTTCCTTTGCGTGTGCGAGCATGTGTCCTTTGTGGCCTGTGCATCCTGGGATAGATCCCAGATTTACCACAACTCCACACTGGATAAGCAACTATGGAAAATGAATGGATGGATGGATGGATGGAGAGTGAAATTGGCAGGTAGCATGTAGAATTTCAGCAAAAGTTTTGGTGAAGCGTTGAGTTGGATGCACAGGCTTGACTGTGCATGTTACTTGCTATCTCAGTAGCATTAATAAGCACAGCTTATTGAGATGTATCTATTGCACAGATTTGTTCAGCTGATTCATATAGGATGACAGTTTTCATGTAGAGACAGTTGCAATAAAATGATCCTTAGCAATTATGCCACCTGTTGTTCGATTCTGACATCAAAGACACTGGTTTTTATTCAAGAAACTTGTCTGATATTTCAGGCATATGTTTGCTACTCTCCACTGAGTCAGCTGACTTGCATAAGATGACTCCTCTACACCTACAGACAGTGACAGTAAAACATTTTAGCCATTATGCCACCTGTTGATCAACTGTGATATTACAGGCATTGGTTTTCATTCAAGGACCTTTTCTGACATTTCATGAACATCACAATGTCCTCGTCCTTCATCATCTTTTCCCAGATAGGTTTTGAATGCCACGAACGGTTCAATTTCAGCAGTTCTGCCACCAGTCTCATGCAGGTGATGTTTTCTGCTGGCCTAGATATCACCCTCATTAAAGATGCTGGCTGGCTATAGCTTTGTCCACCCTAATATTGCACTGAAATATTCACAGGGAATCTGATGTTCAAGCCTCAGAGAAGGAATCAGCTACAGCAAAAGGGCATCAGAATCCCACGCTTGTCCAATGCACTCAGGAAACAATGTGCAATACAACATAGTTACACATTAAGAATTTTGCATCCAAAGCTGACAGCCTGTGTTTGTAGATAAACTCCTTATAACTCCTTAAACTCACCTTCCCATTGAAATTTATGAACCTAGTTCCTGGGCCGTCTCGACGTGGAACTTTAGTAGTTCCTGGCCACTTACACCTGTGAAGTTGGTGGGGATTCTTGGTGGTGAGGCCATGGGCAAAGGGCCCACGTTACCCAAAGACCTCCCTAGTGCCCAAGAGGAGATGAAGTGGAAGTTATATGTCATACATTCCTGCCTACACCCTGTATTCCCAAATGACAATGTAGAATGCTGTAGGAAACTGGGAAATGAATAAAGACAACCAGAAACGGTAAGGAGGTATCGTCTTCAGGACCTGAGTTTCCAAATGGCAAGGGGTGGGAGGTCAACAGACGTCAGATCAAACAGAGCAGGTACAGGGAACCGTGTGTGGGGGCGTTTGAGATTTACTAGAGTAATTACTAATAAAATCAACCGTGGTCCATCCATCGGTTGGTTGCATTGTGATTGGCTTTATTCAGTGGGATAACATGGCGTGACAAGATTTAATGACTAATGTAGCAGTTATGTGTTGCAATGAGCAAAGAAAAAAGAACATTAAGACATTTCCTTTCACCTTATATAAATATAACATGTGCACTGTTGCACTCTCTGTTCCTTTGTGTTTCATCTAAAGCATGTTACCCTTGCACATTCTATAGATCAGCAGATGTCCCAAGTGACCTTTTTCGATGTGCGACGACCACACAAAATCTCCCAAGAGGGACTCCCCCCAGCTGGCAAAAAGTTCAAAGTACCGGTGGCCAGTTTGCCACGCCCCCCTGTTCGGGCATCTCCCCTGCAAAAAAGTTTGTGCAGTCACTGGGTAATATTTACGTCTGTGGAGTAATAATACTTACTAATGTAATGTTAAGAGGCAATTAGCTCATAGGCAGCAACATCGTTGCTTAACTGCTCTGTTTATTTGCTGGTCGATTTGAATTTAGAATTTTTAGAATTTAGTGATTAGATTTGCTGGTTTTCTGTTACATCTGTTGACCTGCTTTCAAATCTCTGCTGATGTATCTGTTGTTGTGGTTCAAAGCGTCTCGGTTTGACTGGTATTGATTGGCCAGTTTGCCACAGGCACACAGACCAACGCACATACACGCACTTGATATATCATATCATTGTGGGGACTCTCCATTAATTTCTATAGGCATAACCCTAATTCTAACTATGATAACCCTATCCCTTACCTCAACCTAACCCTACCAATAAGTAACCAAACAAAATAAAAGACTTTTGACAATTTAAATTTTTTGATCGTATTCACAGATTTTTAAATAAATTTTAGGATTACATTGTGGGGACTTGTCCCCACAAGCTAAAAAGTAACAGGTTTTTCACCATGTGGTCCCCACAATGTATGGGATTGGGGTGAGAGAAAGAGAGGCTGCTGGTCGATTGGCGTGCTCACTGGTGCAGAAAGACGGCTCGCTGTGGCGTGGAAAATAAGGCGTCAGACGTGAGGAAGCCAGCCGGGCAGGAGGCCGATAAACGCACGGGGCGGAGAGCGTGAGATGGAGACGTGTCAATAAGACGGCGTGTAGAATCCTCCACCTTCGTTTAAGGGTCCCTGAATTTAGTCGAGGCGACGCACTCCTCTCTGGACCGTGACAGTGGAACAGCGGAGCGGATAATGCTGTCCTTCACCCTTAGGCTGGATCGCCTGACATGTCTGACGGCCGATGAAAGTGAATCAGAAGGCAGAATACGGAAGACAGAGAAACAGAGCCCCACATCCAGGAATGAAAGCTAACTGATTACCTTCAAGCCTAATCGGACTTTCATTAGATGGGTAAAGTAATTCTACCTTAGTGGAGTCCAACCCCACCTCCTGTCAAATTCTGAAACTGCCCACAGAATGGGAACCCCCCCCCCCCCCCCCCCCCCCTGAATAGCTGCAGGACAAAATCAATCCTGTAAGATGCCGCAACCAAACAGCCTCATCTCCAACAGTTTATCTGACTGTGGTCAACATGCTCAGCCATGACGGTCAGTGGAGATTCACCCACGTGCTGCTGCTACAGGTCATGCTGTTATATAGCTGAGCCCCTAGAAGGAGCTGCTGCGATCTCAGTTTAAGCAGCTGGGCTGGTGGGATCATTTCATTCACTTTATGCTAAATAAGCATGGGAGACACAAAAAGCTTCTAGGTTAAACTTCAAAACTACACCGCTACCCCAAAACAATTGAGGCTGAACAAGTTGTTTTGTTACGTTATTCTTTAGTTATCGGGGGGAGGGGGAGCAATTGTGATCGAAACGGGACACAGCCTATTATATCTATTTTATTCATATAACCCACGACTTATTTATATTTCATTATTAAATCTGGCCGGCAGATCGATCTTTTGGTTTCATATAATAAAGAATTATGCAATCGCTAATAAGTGCTGGCAAGCTTCACCGCCGGCACTGGCAATATTAGACAAAAGTATACTGGTTATCGATCTAATTTTCAGATGCAGAAATGTAAGTAAAAAAATGTACTTTGTAAATGTACCTCAAGTACAAGAATAATTCCATCCGGTGCTCGTGGACAACCAATCGGCAAGCTATTGCTGTAAGCTCCTCCGCAGTAGTTTGTGTGAGGACAAAAGTACCTCATCAAGAGTAGGTACTAAGAAAGAGTTCAGAACTTCCTTCAAGGGACTATAGTCAGGCAGAGTTCCTGCAGTGTAAATGTAACAAAAGTCTTTGGTTCAGGAAAAGGTTCTGGTTCTTGAAAGAAGTTCCTGCAGTGTGAATTACTGCTGTGAGAGCAATATCGTAATGAGAGATATCAGTACACATCTTAATTACTGCTGTGGGAGGGATATCATAATGAGAGATATCAGCACACATCTTAATTACTGCTGTGGGAGGGATATCATAATGAGAGATATCAGCACACATCTTAATTACTGCTGTGGGAGGGATATCATAATGAGAGATATCAGCACACATCTTAATTACTGCTGTGGGAGGGATATCATAATGAGAGATATCAGCACACATCTTAATTACTGCTGTGGGATTGATGCCATAATGAGAGATATCAGCACACATCATAATCTACCACATGCCTATTAGAGGAATATATAAAAGACTTTATATGCTATTCCTATATTTTCATTTATTTTCAGAGCAATATCAGCAGGCGCATCAGACAACAGCCTGGGGTGTGTGTGAGAGACACTCTGCATTCAGACTCCCTTGGGACACTCCACACCTGCACCACACCCTCCCTCCTATCACTCATCTCCAAACAGTAACGTACCCCCCTCCCCCATAGGGGGATGGAAGTTCCATATTCCCGATGAAGCGGAGAAGCCTGAATTCACTTTGTGACAAGTCTTTAAGTAATTTCTACAGGCAGGCTGTGCTGATTCTGTGAAGATTCAAGGGGTTGCGTGAGGCCCTCTGTGTCTCCTGCTATCATAGAGATATGAACCATTTCAGTGAAAGCAGGCAAACTCACACGACATGATGTAACGGTGCGTGCTGCCAACCCAGTGCGAGAAACACTGTCTGCTTAAACATGAACACTCATGAAATATATATGAGTGTCACAGAGTCTTGTTTCCTTCAGAAGAATGCTCCGAAATTATATTAGATAAATACAAGTGATTCAAATAAACATGAGAGAGCAGGCAGAGGAATGAACGGGGGTTGATTGATTCCGGCTCAACATGAACAATGTTCTTATGACAATGTCCTCATTACTATTCCCATTTATAAAAGCACTCTTAGCACAGAGAGAACGTTTAGTCCTTTTTATGTACTGTGCGTCTCGCACTTAGGAGCACCCAGTCTAACAAGTTGGGCATGTGGGTTTTAGGCAGTAAAACATTTCGT